GTTCTCATGGTGTCAGTGCCGAGCACCCTCGGAGCATGCTGTACACGGCACTTATTCCGCAGGTTGGGCGGGCTGCAACCGGCCGATTTTTCTGGAACAGCGGGCTCTGGGGCTTCGGGTGGACGTTGCGAAACCTGTATCGACGGGTCTCCCGTCGTTGGGTGTAGCACGGCCCCAGTCTCAGCCTGGCCCTGCTGGTGAAGGCGGGTAGCGGCGCCTGTGCGGTCATTTCATTGTGATCTGACCCTCAGGGATCGGCATTTCCTCGGGAGGCGGTGGCTTGTGCCACGTAAGTCCCAAGGGGCCTTGTGCCCACCCAGGGCTGGGGAGCTTGTGCTCCTCAGTATGCCGTGCCAGCTGTTCCGACTGGGACGCCGTTGGCTCCCAACGCACCGTGTCGGAACCGCTGGGCCGCGAGTCTCACAGGCGACGTGGTCACCCCCTATGCCCTTCCTGCGCAGCTGTTGTTGCTTTCCGGGTGGTAGTTCGTTGGCTGGGCGCGTGCAATACACGGACGGCCTTCGGGAGACCGACCCTGGGCGCCGAACTCCTCCTCCGCCTCCGCCTCCTCCTCCTCCTCCTCCTCCTCCTCCTCCTCCTCCTCCTCCTCCTCCTCCGCCCTCCTCCTCCTCCCCTCCTCCTCCTCCTCCACATCCTCCTCTCTCCTCCTCCTCCTCCTCCTCCTCCTCTCCTCCATCCACCCTCCGCCTCCTTCTTCCTCCTCTCTACCTCTTCCTCCGCCACCTCCTCTTCCTCTCCCATCCTCCATCCACCCTCCCCCTCCTCTTCCTCCTCCTCCCTCTCCTCCTCCTCCCTCCTCCTCCTCTTCCTCCTCCTCCGCCTCCTCCTCCTCCTCATTGGGACTTCGCTTGGTTCTTTGTTTCAAAATGTTGTTCCCTCTAAAGCGCTGACTCCATTTCTGCGCCGCTGGTTGTTCCAAATGGTGCTCCCACTGCAGCGCGGGCGTTTCCGGTCCTAGGCCCCCAAATCTGGAAAATGCCTCCGAACAAAACCATCGGAAGTGATTGCACATTCGGTGCCGATTCGTTGATTCTGGGCCGCAGAAGCCCACCTCCCCACTTTGGGGCGTTGTCGTTTTCACGAAGTATGAAGCGGGAGTCCCGTTTCTGCTTTGATAAGGCGATTTTGAAAGCAAAGCCAGCGAGTGCTCTCCATCAGCCCCGCCTTGTGGGGAGCTTTTCGGAGAGCCCAAGGAGCTAGACATGGAGCCACGACTCCAGACCGGCCCAGACCTCTCGAAGACGATCCACTCACCCTCCAAGGAACCCAGCGCCATGGCATGACATGCCGTGCGGTGTTGTTCTGCGCCGCTTTGCGATGCCATGCTTTGCGTTGCAATGCTCTGTGATGCAATGCTGCACTGCGCAATGCCACGCCATGCTATGGCATGCTACGCTCTGCCGTTCTCGTCTACGCCATGCCGTGCCGTGTTCTACCATGCATCGCGTACCCTCCCGCGATCATTGCCTTGCTCGACATCTGACTGTGCGAATAGAGAGGATATGTACGACATGGGAAGGGCTGGGAGGGAGGGGTAGGACGTCAGATAAGACGCAGGCGCACCTGCGTTGTCCACCCCCCCTTCTCAATCCACCCTCCTCCTCCTCCTCCTCCTCCTCCTCCACCTCCCCTTCTCCAACCCCACCCCGTCTCCTCCTCCTGCCTCCTCCTCCTCCTCCTCCTCCTCCTTCTCATCCTACTCCTCCTCCTCCTCCTCGTCTCCCCTCCTCCTCCTCCTCCCGACTCCTCCTCCTCCTCAGCCATCCAAACTTCTCCTCCATCCAACCTCTCCCCCTCCTCCTCCTCCTCCTCCTCCCTCCTCCTCTCCTCCTCCTCCTCATCCTCCTCACTCCGCTCCTGCTCCTGCCTCCTCCCTCCTCCTCCTCCTCCTCCTCCTCCTCCATCCAACCTCCTCCTCCTCCTTTCCTCTTCGTCCTCCTTCCCTCCTCGCTCTCCCGCCCTGCTCGTCCTGCTCGCAAGGATGCCCCGCCCCACCATCCTTGCCATCGCTCGGACATCCATTCCCTGTGCATTGTTCGGTTTCGTGCGTGTTTTTGTTTGCTCGATGATCCAGGATGCTCCTCCAGGGTCCTCGCCGAGAAAAAATGCACACGTCCGAGCGATGCCAGGCATCTCACGTGGCATCGTCCAGGGATCTCCATTCCGATCCTATCTAACCTTGTAGGGCCCATCCTCCGTGTCAACAACCGCAAGTACGAAAAATGTTATGGCCGGGGCGAACATCCGGAGATGGCATGGCTATCGATGGGCACGCGAATCGAAACGTGTAATGGTAGCAACTGGAACCCGACCTCAAGCGTTCGCGCAGTTTCTCAAAATCCCCTTCTCGTGTAGGTGGCTGGGAAGCTCCTCAGTACGCGCTCGCGCTGATCAGAACACAACCCACACGACGTTTGCAGTGTAAACGGTCAAAGGGTCACCAAACATCCAACATTATCACACGGAAGGAAATTCCTCTCTTGCATGCCGCATCCGGCACCTCTTGGCGAGGGGCCGAGACCTTCGCGCTGACGATGGAGAAACCTGCCCCTCCCTCCCGTCTCCGATGGCGGATGCAGGCCAGAGGGAGGTGGTGGGGGAAGATCGGGCTGGGCGAAAAAGGGGGTATCAAAGGGGGGGGGTTCGGAATCAGCTCGCGTAGCTGATTTTCCCGGCGCCCCCCGGCGCCGGAGGCGGCTATGTATCGAGGAATAGGCCCGGCGGCGGGGCCGAAACCAGCTGCATGCAGCAGATTTCGTAACCCCCCCTTTCCCTATCCCCCCATTTCGTTCGGCCCGAAAAGAGGGCGACGACAAAGGCGGCGGCGGCGGAGAAGGAGATGGCGAAACCGAAAAGGACCACTACTGCTAATCCATGGATCTCTCCCCGGGTGCGGTCTGCCCAGAATGACGAGGCGAATGCAGAAGTGGCGACAAGGGCTCTGAAGTGGCCCCAGAGGGGGGAACAACGAGGGAAGGGTAGCGCTATGGGTACCCCTTCCTCCTCGGAGGACAGTGGACGTGAGCGCTGAGTGCATCGGCGCGCTTCGCCGTGCAATCGAGCACGCGCGCGAGGGACCGGAGCTCTCGACGTGCGGCGCTGCTCGCGACAACCCTCGAAGAGGGGCAGGCAGCGAAGGCCCGCCGCAGTCGGCGTGCTGCCCCCACACAGGAGTTCTGGAGAAGGACCCAACTAGCCGCTCCCCCTCCTCCTCCTCCCCCTCTTCCTCCTCCTCCTCCTCCCTCCCCTCCTCCTCCCTCCTCCTCCCTCCCCTCCCGCTTCCTCCCTCCTCCTCCTCCTCCTCCTCCTCCTCCTCCTCCTCCTCCTCCTCCTCCTCCTCCTCCTCCTCCTACCTATGGTGGTGGTGGTGGGACATCTGCCCATCATAGGCCCCCCTCCATCTGAGAAGCCCCCCGCCTTCTTAGAAGACCGCCCCCCCCCCCCCTGTGCTCGCTGCCAGCCTGCAGCCAGTCTCAAGCCCCCTGGTCGCCATTTGCCTCCGCTCATGGCCGGTCCCGGTGCCACTGCGTGAGAAGCATGACCCGAGAGGATTGAAGTGGCGCCCGTCCGGGGCGCTCGCCTGGCGAGCGCAAGGCTGCCCGCGCATGGGCCTGTCGCTCCGCTGACAGGGCCGCGGTGAGGCTGTCCGAAGAGCTCGCCCGTGCCAAGCCGGAGCTGGACGCCGCTGTGTGGAGGTGCTGGACGGGCTTCTTGGCGGCGCGGAGGAGGCGGGGCGCGTGCGCGGCACTGCAAGCGCTGACGGCGCTGCTCGAGGGGCGCTCTCCTGGGCAGCTGGCCAGGCCGCGCAGGTACGTGGCGCTTCATTGTGTTGCGCCAGACGTCGCGATCGACACGGCGGAAGCGTCCGCTCTTCGGAAGGCTCCACGTGGATGGGCCTCGACTCAAGTCCAGAATCGGCGTCCTCTCCAGACGTGCCGCGCCCTTCGTGCCCGGCGGCGGGTGCTGGTGCGGGCTGGCCCACGTGGCCTCGCCGTTTCTCATCACTTGGCGGAGGGGGCCAGTTTTTGGTCGCGGAGCAGCTTCGGGCGCAGAAGTTCGTCTCCCACTTCACTGATGCAGCGGTGGACGACTCGGGCTGGCCTGCAGGTTGGGCTCCCTCTATATCCACCCGCAAGGCCTCTGGGAACCGCTCTTCGGATCCTGCGAGCCCAACCGCTCCCACAGAACGGCCGAAGAAGAATAAACGGAAAGGCTGTCTACGGACATCGCGTTCCCGCTGCGCCGCGGAGCGCCTGCGTGTTCCGACGAGCCCTGTTTGGGCTTCGCTGCCATGGAGCGACTTGTGTGGTTCTTTGTGCGCACCGACGCGGATGTCGTTACGTCCAGCTGTGGTGGCACCGTCGCGGGCGCGGACTGCGAGATTGCCTCCTGCGATGGCGACGGTTTCGGCAACGTGCTGTTCACAGTGGTGGCGTCAGCGTCCAGCTTCCCTTCTGCGATGCAAAGCCATTTGGAGACGGGCGCCGTCGTCCACGTGTTCTAGGCCATCGACGCTTTCATCACCCCGCCCTTCCTGGAGCGCACGAGTGACTGTTGCTATTGTCGCCATCGCTGAGACCGACGGGTCGAACACCGCAACGCCCTGGCGCAAGGACTGCGACATGCTCCTCTGCCCCTGGTGCTGGCCTCCGAAGCTCGGGCAGCGGCTCAACGTTGCGACGGATACTATGTGAAGTGCCTTCTTTGTGGGCTGCCTGGCTTTGGCGTGGGATCATGGCCAGGAGTACTCGCCTTCCTTGTTCGGCATCGTCGGCGTCGGCTCCGACTCCGCGTTCCTCGTCAGATCCACGGGGCGCGTGTGCCTGGAGTTCATCGTCTTATCGCCTTTGGCGGGGTCGTGCGCGGGAATGCGGGCATAATGGTGCAGCGGCAAAAAGCCGCCGCCTCCTTCTCGTCCTCCTCGTCCTCCTCGTCCTGGTCCTCGTCCTCGTCCTCGTCCTCCTCCTCCTCCTCCTCCTCCTCCTCCTCCCCCTCCTCCTCCTCCTCCTCCTCCTCCGCCTCCTCCTCCTCCTCCTCCTCCTCCTCACTCCTCCTCCTCCTCCCTCCTCCTCCCCCCTCTCCTCCTCCTCCTACCTCCTCCCCTCCTCCTCCTCCTCCTCCTCCTCCTCCTCCTCCTCCTCCTCCTCCTCTTCCTCCCTCTCACCTGCACGTGCAAGGCAAAGGCAGGTGGAACGAAAGCGGGGTGGCGAGGCGTGGGAGGGGCATGCCGAGATGTGCGGGGTGACGCCATGCGGGCGCTGCGACTGGCGCCTTCGGTTGGGTTTCCCTCGGGCCACGAAGCGCGGGAGGGGCGTGCTAAAAAATGAGGCGATGCCGCCATTCGGGCGCTGGCAGTGGCGCCATTGGTCAAGCTCTGTTGGGGGCACGAAGCGTGTGAGGGGTGTGCCAACAGTGGGGGTGCTGTGGCCATGCGTGTGCTGCTACTGGGGCTTACTCCCTATGAGGCCACGAAGCATGTGAAGGATGCGCCGAAATTTGTTCGCCGCCGCCATGCGGGCGCTGCCAGTGGGGCCTTCGGTGGAGATCGGAAAGGTCAGATATACAGCCCTCGTGTTGGCTAATGCGTGAATAGCCCGTCAGGTCGACTTGGCTGCGCTCTCGTTGTTGCTCTTGCTCTTACTTCGGTCGGGTCACGTCGGTGGCTGGTGCACGGAGCGGCTGTATTGCTTTGGAAATAGTATTATTAAGTCGTGTGTTCTTCGTGGCTTCTTGGGGTGTTATCTCTTTTTCGTCGTCGTGGTGGTTGTCGACGCTTTCCCTTCGGGAGGGTAGCACTGCCTCCTTTATCTTCTTGGGCTTGCGTGTGTCGTTTTGTTGATGTACCCTAGATGACATGATGGTATATTCCTAGCCGTTGTGGTAGGATTGGGTGTCAATGTGTAGCGCATTGTGGTTGCAATCGTCATGCTCGCCGTTTCGTGCTAAGTGTTCGTATCTATTTTGGGTAGGTGTTGCGTGCAGCTTAGTTGTTTGCATAAATCGTCATGGTTTCGGTTGGCCGGTGTGTGCTGGAAGAGGACCATACTGGTAATTGGGTGTGTGATGTCGGTTGTTCCCGTCCTCTTCGTCGTCGTCGTCGCTTGGAAATACCGCGTTGCCGTCGTGCTCCTTGTCGTTTTGTGAGGATGCTGCCGTTGTGTGCTCGCCTTGCTCTTGTATTCAGGTCTCCGCTCGAGTAGCTCTCCCACTCTTGCTGCAGAGTGCCCCGTGGTGGCGTTGAGTTGTGGGCTGGTGTCTCCTGTGCAAAACGTACCTGTTTATGTGGTTAGCTGTTGGTGGCTGTGGTTGCGTGGGGTGCTTCGTCTGCCGCGTGCCATCGCGTTGGCGCGCCGCCCCCAAGGTCCTCACCAAGCGTTCATGCTGTGCAGCGTGCTTGTTGCTACTGGTGGTTGGAGGTGAAACGTGATCGTATCCGGTTGCTGCATATTGCCCATCGGTTTTAGCTCTGCGCTGTCCTTGCTGAGCGCAAAGTGGCGTCGCGACTACACTGGAGTCGAAATTGCAGGGCGCGGTCAATGCTCGCTCTTCTGGCGGCTTGTTGCAGTCGATACCCTGGGCCAGTAACCATCCCAGGGCGCCGCATCGCATCTCGTTGTTTGACCTCGGGCGCCCTGGCACCCCATCTTGTCCGATGGAACTGGGGCACCTGTCGCAGGGGTCCTCAAAGCCGTCGCCGTGGTCGCAGATTCTGACCATCTTGGGCTGCTCTGATGCGCCTGCGTTGGGCCTGTCGGCGTTCGTTCTCCAGGGCGGCGCGCAGAGGCGGTGCCGACCTTGCCCACTCGGGTGTCCCAAGATGGAATCGTGGTGGTGGCGATACAGGTTGAAAAGGGTGGGTAGGCATGGTGTCACGAATAGGCTGTCGAATTGGTGTTCCTGGGTGCTCGTCGTCTGCGTTTCACGCTGAGGTCGATGAGGATGGTTGTACTTGCAACTGGCGTCTGGCAGTTGTGCTCGTCGGTCCTCGTTGCGGGGGGCGCTGACATGGCCCCGACCTCGGGAAATCCGCCGACCCTGTCGGCGTGTAGAATGGGTAGTTCTTCTCGTCCGTGCCTCCTTCCCTTTCCCACCTTCTCCGTCTCCCTCTCGTTCGTCTCCCCCTCCTCCTCCTCCTCCTCCTCCTCTTCCTCCTTGATCTCTTCCTCTTGCGTAAAGTAAATTGACTCGAAGGGTTTCCCCTTCCCTTTGTTCCCTTCTCCGGCCGGGGAGGGGGGGGTCCCGGCGGAAGCCCGGGGGGTGGTTCTACGGGGGGGTTTCCCGGGGGGTCCTGGGGATGTTCCCGGTCAATACCACCTCCCTTCGGCTTCCCTTTTGACACCTTCTCCATATCCTTCTCCTTTCGTTTGTCTCCCCCTCCTCATCTCCTCCTCCTCCTCCTCCTCCTCCCCGCTCCTCCTCCTCCTCTCCCTCCTCCTCCCTCTCCTCCTCCTCCTCTCCTCCTCCTCCTCCTCCTCCTCCTCCTCCTCCCCTCCCCCTCCCCTCCCGCTCCCCCTCCCCCCTCCTCCGCCTCCTCCTCCTCCTCC